GGTTGGCTGCATTGGGCTGTTTCGCGGTGATGTACTGCCAGTCGGAAAGTGTGCCGGGGAGGCCGGAATAGTAGGCATTGACGGGAACATCTGCGGAAGGAGGTGAACAGAAGTGAACAAGAGCGCAGGGAGTGGAGCAGGGTGGCGGCGTAGCGAGGTGAGCGGGAGAGGGAGAGGGAAGGGTAGAGGGAGAGGGACGGGACGTACTGATGGAGCCTGGGGAGCTGCTGTGGGTAGCTCTTGTGATCGACGTCGGGATGGTCTGTGTAGAGGGCGGCGGCAGGATAGGAAAGCGAGGCGGCGAGTAGGAGACCCAGAGACCGCATCGCTAGAAGGGAACGGGAAAGACAGGAGGAGGGGGACAGGGGGGAGGGAAAGACTGATGAGCGTTTGTCGTGAGTTTGGCGAAATGAGGATGTAGAGGAGGGCGCGCTCACCGAGAATCTGTACGTATGATACTGTACGACCTGGAGCCCATGGAGCTGGAGGTATTGCGGCGCAGGCGCAGGGGAGGAGTCGAGGGAAGTCCGGTTGAGCGGCAGTAGCGGAGAGGCCTGTTGAACGTGGACTGTCCGGGCTCGGAGGACGGAACCTTGCATCACTGTGCGAAGCGCATGCAACGCGAACCTCAATCTCAAACGACTTCAGTTCTCAAGTATGCCGGATGAGGCGACTACTCTACTACGCTACATTGCACGATGCTGATGGGTCGGGAAAGTGACTGAGCCGCTGGTGCTGGACTACTACGAGGTCAAGGAAATATCAGATCACACCCGGCGAACACTTCACAGTTAATCCTTTAACCCTCGAACACCTTCTCAGGAATGTCTACCCCAAAGTTCGACTTTGCAAAGTCGCGCATAGTACGCTCAAGCTCATCCTCAAAGCTCTCGCCCCTGTGGCCAAAGTGGCTCCAAAACCACTGCCGCAACTTCGTCGCCCAGAAAAGGATGTCAATCGAGAACATGACAGATAGGAAAATAAGGTGATGCACAAGCTCGCGAAGCCGAGTCACGAGGCTCATATCGTGCGAGGTGACCAGCGAGCGCGACGCCCAATAAGCCGTAATTCGTATGCGGTTCACTGGAGATCCGAATGATTGGTTGTTTCCTGCAATAAAGGTGAGAGCAGGTCATAGAGGGAGAGACAGATCTACGTGCCTTGAACAATACTGAGTATGATGATGATGTCAGGGCAAAGAATTAACGAAGGGGAGAGGAGCAAGGCGCACCGCATATTCCTGCCGATGAAGATGAGCTCTTTGGGCATCCTGTCGGTGTCCGTGAGGAAGCCCTTGAGCTTCTCTTTCATCACGACTCCACGCTCATAGTCGTTCATATTATCAAAGTCGGGGAGATCGTTCTGCTTGAAGCGCACGGGACGCATGAGCGTCGCGCTCGCGAAGAGGTCTGGCGTGCCGATGCCCCAATCTTCCGCGACGGACTTCACGACGTCAAAATCGACAGTAAGCAGCCCCTTCCACAGACGTGCGTACTGCTGCTGGAACGTGTCCGAGAGACGGACGTAGAGCCCGTGATCGAGAAGCACGAACTGAGGCTTCCCCCGGCGCTTCGGGTGCGGGCGCACGATGATGTTGCCCGGGTGCGGATCACAGTGGACCCAACCCCAGCTGAATATCTGCGCGCTGAAGAGCTCGACCATCGTGCGCATCACCCACTTGGCGCCGCCGCTGAGGGTCGGGAATCGATCGGCAGGGAGTGGAATACGGGGCGGCGGATCTAAGGCCTCGTCGCCCATGAGACGCCCGATGCCCCGGCGATCGCTGAGACGGACTCCGTCGATCCACTCAGCAACCATGACTTTCTTCGTGGAGAGCTCAGGAAACACCTTGGGGATGTAGACACGGTCAGCCAATCGGGGCTCGGAGGCAACGAACTGGGATGTGCGCTGGGCGTTCTTGGCCTCAAGTTCGAAGTCGAGTTCGCGCCGGAGATGGTCCGTTATGAAATCTAGACGACCATAGATATCAGCAACTATGAGGTCACACGGAAGGTTGGGCACTGACCGACGACAAAATAGACAGGAAGGTCGAAAAGGTAGTTCTCGTATATCCACATGACGATGCGAAAGGCGCCGAGGTCCCACTCGACTTGTTTGCTGACGTCTGGTTTCTGGACCTTGACAGCGACCCATTGTTCGCTATCATCATCGGTCTTTAGTTTTGCTCGATGGACCTGAGCGATGCTGGCACTGGCGGCTGCTTGCTCCTCGAAAACCTCAAAGATGCCGTCGGGACCGGCGGGGGCTCGACCGAACTCTTTGCGGAAGACGGACTCTACGACAGAGTAGGGAACCTGGGGAGCATCATCGAAAAGCTTGCTGAACTTTTCTTGCAAGGGTTTTGGGAGCAAGGCGGCGTTGTTGCCGATGGCTTGTCCTAGAGAGCGGAAGGGAAAGGAAGGTCAACGACGTACGATGGTGGGTAGGAAGAATGAACGAACCGATCTTGATGTAGAGGCCACCGTTGGAGGTGAGGAGGTTATAAACACGCTCTGCGACGCGTTCTTGGAGGGCGGGTATCTTGCCGGCCTTTTCTGGCTTAAAGTTGAGCTTGTAATCGAGGGCGATGAGGAGGCACTGGGAGGACATTGAATGAGAGAGCGGGCAAGGAGGTCAGGGCTGCGAAGATGAGCGGAAAGGATTGCAAAGAAAGACGGACGGTCCAGAGGGTCCTGAGGTTTCTACCGACGGCGGAGGCGTTGTAATGACGGTCTACGGTGTAGACGAGTCCGATGCCGAGAAGCACGAATGCAGCGCGACGTGCATATTTGGGGAGCCGAGAACGCTGAGAAAAAGCAGCATGAGAGTGGGCATGACGCTGATAGCGAGCGGAATGCAAGGGCGAAGTGAAGCGGAGAGCAGAGGACGATTGAGGCGTGGACAAGGAACGAGTGGTCGTCGCGTGCGTGGTGAGCGCGGAGTACCACGGAGGACGAACGCGAAGGGCGGTGACGGGAAACATAATAGACAAGCGTCGATCCCGACGATGGCACTATGGTTGAGAGGAACGGCTGGACATGGTGGTGGAGGACGAGGCGAGTGTCCGTCGCATATACATACGGTGACTTGCAGTGCAGTCACGGCAAGTGTAGTACGAGGAGCACTTACATAAGCGCCAAGCGCTCCGTTCCGCGGCAGCAGACGCCGTCATCCCTGGTGAGTCGCCACCACGCTCAAGGTCAACATGTCCGAGTATTTTGACGTCTGTACAGAAACTCGGGTCACGACGTCACTCATGGCGGCAAGTACACGGCCGTTCAAATTTCCCAGGTAAATCCGCGGATTTTTCAACCTGAAGATTTCCAGCGGAAAATCCGCGGTCAAACCATACTTGGAGGCCGCCAGGAAAATCCTGGGTTTTGTTAATCCTAGGTCAATCCGCGGATTGCACCCCAGGATCATCCGCAGATTATCCTAGGAAATTCCTAGTTGGCGGTCGCCAACGGATGGCTTCGTCATCTCAGCAGCGCCTAGGCTACGTCAAAACTGAGCACATATTTTATTGAATGGGATGTAAACTACATAAGACATGATCCTGAACTCGTCTCGAAGCTCTTTAGAGTACTGTCATCTACCATAGATATAGCACTAATAAGAATTGACTCAGCAACAAATCAAAAGGAAGGCGGGATTGCACTCACTATATTACAGCATCAGAGCGCGGTAGCCCGAGGCGGTCAGCCGCTGCTATAAAGGCTTGAAATGCTGGTACCGGAAGCTCCCATAGAAGGACCATGCAGATCTGACGCAATTTGAGTGTATGAGAGATCTAGGGCAGAATGAGGTGACAAATGCACTTCATGGTACCTCTGAAAATGACTTACAGTAGTTGACCGGGACCGTGGGCGCTCCTCCCCAACGTGCAAGCCGCTGTCAGTGCCGGGGAAGTCCGAGCTCCACCCCATGTTGAAGTCTGAGAGCGAGGCTGCCTGAGGCACCAGCCACCTTCAGATGCACAATGCTAGGAGCTGAGTAGGACTAGAGGACACATTCATGTAAGAATCAGAATATGGGTGTGGTGGCGCTACTCACCCAAAACTTGACATGTGACGTGTCTTCAGTAGAGTCCTGAGACTAAGACATGCACTGCAAAAAGTAGGATGTCAGTAGCCGTGGTTGTACCAGAAACACATTCGTTGCAGATGGCGCCAGGATGTTGTGCCGCTTGCATGACCAGTGCAGAGGTTCGCTGGGGATTGCGGTCAAGTGTGCAAGAGCGTTGAGAGGGGAGCTGACGTGTCCATGTCACACACAATCACGTGATTGTCACATCTCGTCCATAGTGTTACGGGCCGGCACCTGACTCCAGAGGAGAGGCGCGACGAACTTAAAAGAAGTGCATTCAGGACGACCAAGGTGCGGGATAAGGAAGAGCCCGAGCACCGACACTGCCGCTGGTGTTGGTTCAATGAAAAGAACAGGCGCACATCATAATGAGTGAGTATTCAAATCATCGTATTGCAAGTTAGCCGTTATACATAGGCAATAGATTGAAGACAGGCAGGCAAAGGATTAGATGAACTTATCAAAACACATATTTAAAACACTATCAGGTCACTGTATTGTAGGGATTGGTATGTAGCATTGCAGCACTTACTCGTGTCGAGAAGCAGATGTTTGAATATTGAGGTACAAACCCGCTCGACATCCTGCATGCGGAAGCGCTGCTAAGTTGAGCAAGCGCCCGGAGAGGCTGCATCCTCCAGCTTTGGTAGTCATGATGTCATTGGGCCAGACCGGCCAGACCGGCCAGACCAACCCATCATCGCCTCAGCGCCTGCTCACCTCAGATTTTCCTCAGTCTGACAGACAACCGAAATTTCCAAATTTCAACCTGAGAAAAACCTGGGTTCAGATCCTAGGATTTTCCTGGCGGCCTCCATCAATCCTCGAATCTTGGGATTTTCCTAGTTTTTTCGAACGGCCGTGTACTGTAGGGCCTGACCAATAGGGTAGCTGGGGGATGGCGGGGGCAAAAAGGGCCCAACCGGGATTCGAACCCGGGATCCCTTGCAATCGGAAATCCCAAAGCAAGTATCTTACCTCTAGACCATTGGGCCGTTGTCAATAGCCCAGTCTGAGCCATCTAGTATCTGCGTCTCCCGCGCGGTTGTACGACACCGTTCGACCACTGCAGTCGATGTGCGTTGCTTGATCAACGAGAGCTGCCAGTGTACTGTATCTCGCAATACACAGCAGTGCTTCTCGGATCGAGTCAGCTTCACCGTGAGCACGATGAGGCGAGCATACACACACTACAGTACTGCTGTTTTGGCTGCGCCTTGAGCTCGTCATGCTGGATCGTTCCGGACGCTGACGCCGACGCACGACGCTCCCCAGCCGCTCTGGCTTAAACGACCATGTCCTGTCCTTGACACCCTCCTTGCGGACAAGAGAATCCTCCAGACCAGTCCGCGCGGACATCGACCCTCTCGTTGTGATCTCGAGCAGAGGCGAGCTTAGTGTCCTAGGACAAAGATGGACAAGTTCACGACCCTCGAGCCCGTCCGGCTTTATAACCCGTCCCCTCCTCCCCCTTCTCACCCAACTTCCAACCGCTTCTCCTTCCACAAGCCTGCCTTGTCTCGACCCTCTCCGTCTCGTCCCACTCTCAAAACCCCCGGCCCTGCTCCATTTCAGGTCATCGGCCGTCTCCCAGTCGACGTCCATATTCTCATCCTCTCCCTCCTCGCCGTTCCCGACATACCCGCCTATGCACGTTCCTCGCGCGCACTCGCTAATCTCGCTCGCGATGAGCGCGTCTGGGAGGCTCGCTGGAAGGCCTTCGGCGTAGATACGCATAACCTTGCTGACGTCCTCGATCTCCTCGAGGAATCTCACAAGGTCCGCAACGCCCTCCAGCGCGGCCATTCCCCACCCACGCTCCAGACAGAGAGCCTCGACGATGAGTTTGGCGACTTCGCACCTATCAATGCTGACCCTGACGAGTTAGGTGACTTTGTCGGCGGTTTCTCTCTCTCTGTGTCCGTGTCACCCCGCACAACCACCTTCAAGGTTCCCGTTGCCAAGTCTTTTCGCGCGCTCTACGTGCGTGCCCATTCCCTCCTCAAGCCTCTCGTGTCTGCCCTCTCCGCACCTCCCCACGCCGTTCTTTCTAGTCTCTTTCCCTCCCCCGCGCCGTCCCTTCGCAGCCAAGCTCACACCCTCCGCCTCCTCTCCCGGTTTCTATCCCCGGACGTCAAGCCGCTTCGTAACTGGGAAACCCTCGGTTCGGCCTTGCGTGCTGCCATAGACCGCTTCGAGGACGGTCTCCTCACCGCTTTCGATGTAGCTGACGGCAAGGGTGATGAGCAGGGCATGCGCGAAGCGGCGGAGGCAAGCTGGGAGGTCTGGGACGGTCCCGGCAGTGGATGGGAACTCGGAAAGGTCTGGGCAGAGAAGCGCGAGATTTTCTACGAACAGAGCAAGTGGAAGCCTCTCGACAACTTCACGTACGGCGTCGTGCCTTTCCTCACCTGTACCTTTGCTGAGCTCGCAACCTAGCAAGGACTCGGAGCTAGACTTTACTGCCATGGATGAATTTATGGCGGACATTCTCAGCGTTCTGGCAGAACACGGCTACCGTGCCGTGCGCGTCTTCCCTCCTGAGGCGAACGTTTTGCTTTTATTTGCCGACCGTCTAGCAAACGAAGTGGTGAGTCATGAACCGCAGACGACCCTGTACAGTGTACTGACGGCCGTACTGTGACTTAGGTAGGCGAGTATATCTCGTCCCTGCTCACTCGCGCACGAGAGATCTCGAACGAAATCTTCCTCAAAGCCACTGCTGCGAGCTTCAAAGAGGCCTGGCGGATGGTGGACACGATCGTACAGGTAGGGTCCTCCAAAGACCCCGACTTTCCGAGGACAAAGGCGGAGGATGTCGTGTAGGTGGGCCCCTTTGGTGTTCCTGTTCCTGCGCTTAATCTTTCCAGCTATCGCATGTTCGAACCTAACATGGACGAGTATCTGGACGAGGAGGTCGAGTTCGTCAAGCAAAGTTTTGAAATGATATGCCGCGCGTGGGAGAAAGAAGTAAGCCCTGCATCCTCTCGCTGTTGCACGCCCAACTCTTCAACACTTCGCACAGCTCTCGGAACACCGATTGCCCGCTAGCACCGTGCCCTCGGCCGAGACCGCACGCTTCCTCGGCTCGCATAACCCCGCGCAGGTGAAGCGCAATGTCCTCGCGTCTTTCACGGACGTCCTCCTCCTTCCCGTCACCATCGTCCCGCGCACGGTCGGTAAGGCCGTCGGCGCGGCGATTACCACCGGTAGCACCGCCGCCGTGCAAGGCATCGCGATGCTCAACCCGCAGCGCTGGGGTGCTCCTCCTGGGACACCCGGCCAGACGCGCGGCGCCTTTCCCTTCGCACGCATGTCCTCCTGGAATGCGAATGCGAAAGATGGGTACATGCGTGACTTCAATGAAGGGGGAGACGGGATGTTGTTTGACATTGGGCCCGAGGACGATGAGGGGGAGGAAGAGGTACAGAAAGAGGCGGAGAAGGTGGCAGCGGAGGAGCAGGGAAGCGAAACTGGAACTGCTGTTTCGACAGCTTCTCTCACTGCCTCGGTGACTCAAGAGTCATCAATCACCATCCCGTCCTCGCTAGAACCCACTCGAGTGTCGACGCCTAGCTCGAGCCCACCAGGTCTGGAGAACCTGGATCTGTTGTTGTCGCTAGATACGGCACTTGAACTCATCCACGCTGACCGCGAGTCCCTCAAGCGTGTCGAGACGTTCTCTGGATATCCCGGCATGTATGGGCATCGCGTGCGCGATACCATCGAGGAAATCTTTGTCCTCCTGCTCCAAGCACTCGGCGAGCGCCATATCAAGCCTGGTTTCGACACGTGCGTATCGACGCTTACGTGACTGTGCTCCTATGGTCCATGGCCGCTCACATTCTCCTGCAGAGCAACCGAGCAGATGAAGTCGTACAAACCTGCGGAGCACGAGACTAAGAGCGTCGCGCCACTCCTCCAGTTTTTTGAGCTCGTCCACGTCGGAGACACGATGCAGTCCATGGTACAGGTCTACTTTGACAAGGAGCTTGTCAGTGTGATGCTTCACGTGTTGCGCACAGCTCACTGACTTGACACAAACATTCAAGGCGCCTCACATTGATCGGACTGACTTTCTCAACACGGTGGTGCGCGAAAAAAAGCGCTTCGAGGATATCCTCGATGACTGCGTGGCAGGAGGACTGAATGCCGCCACCGATGCTCTGATGAACCAGGTGCGTGCCCTATGCATGTGTGCTTGTCCATGTGGATGCTAATTATCCGACAATATTCAGGTTGAGCACATCATTTTGAAGCTGACGAAGCCTCGCGAATACTATCCCCCGGAAGACAGGCCCTTGGAGCTTGGCCCGACGGAGGGTTGTCAGGAGGCTATCAAGTGTCTGCAGATGCATTGTCAGTTGCTCAAAGGTAGCACGAGCAAGGAGGTGTTGGAGGTCTTCTATCAGGAGGTTGGGATCCGATTAATAGCGTATGCTGATTTATCTCACGGTCGATCGCTGTCGGAGTTCTCATTCTCCATTAGCATATTGCAGAAGCACCTGAAGCGGCAGATCATTTCTCTCAAGGGCGGGTTCCAGGTTATCGCGGACCTCAACGCGTACCACGCGTTCATTTCGTCCCTTCGCGTGGCAAGCATCACCTCGGAGTTTGCATATCTCAAGATGCTTGGGCATGTGTACGTCGTCGAGGATGCGAAGGATCTGGCGCAAATTGTACGAGACGTTACAAGGTATGGGGGCGCGTATCGGCCAGAGGTTGGCATCTCCTGAGCTCATCTGTGATCTGGTACTCACCGTGCTTATATAGGACATCTATGAGTTCATCCAGCGGCGATCGGACTGGAAGAAGATCGAGAAGACGGTAGACAAGACGATGTACAACCTGAGCTTCAAGGAGGACTGCGTCGTCTGCTGAAAAGTCTACAAAGGAACCGCTTTAGGCGGGACGTGACGTCACGTCACGCTGCTCTGGCGCAGCCAGTGACATTCGCGCCACCGCGTCTCAGCTGCTCTTAAGCAGCTGCGATCGTGTTCGTCGTCTCCAATCGCACCCCTTCGTGCTCTCTCCGTCCGCTCACTCGTCGCCACCCTCGGAGCCTCCGTTTCAAGCACAAGCTCACCCCAATTTGCATCTGCATCTTCGTCCATGTCGATCCCCGAGTTCTCTCTTCGTCTTCAGCATGGTGGGCTTGGTGTATCGATACCGGCTATGGTCTGACCGCGCAACCCCCAGGCATCACCGGCGGCTTTGCGCCACCTACCCCGGAATCTATCGTCACGATCACCGGCATTCCATCGCAAAACTTGCTCAACATCACCAGCGCCGTGCGTCCGAAAGGCACCCCGTCCCTGCAGGACGCTGTGCCAAAGTCGATATCAGCGGCCAACGCGCACACGGCAGCGCTCGTGAACGAGCTCAAGGACATCCTGAAGTCAATTCCGACGGAGTCCCCACCTGGGAGCGAGGACATCTACGGCATGGACACGAGCATCGCATTTGGGTGTGACGATTTCATGTGGATGAACGGCGGCCCGCAAGGGTGTGGACATGGTGAGAGCACGGTTAAGGCGACGGAAGAGGACAAGGCAAAGTTCAAGCGAGCCGTCCACATCGTAGAGGAGCTGCAGGCAAAGGACGCGTGAGGGCTGGTAACGTGCATTCTCGTCGTACCACAAATGTGTATCAGAATGGATCGGACAGATTATATCTTGTGTCGAACGTCCAGCAGCGATTCTGAGGCTCTAATGCAATGCTACAGCACAAGATGGAGATGACTCTAAGCCGCTTCCCTCTCCGGCCCTTCAGTCATAGCAAAGGTTGGTACGCTACCTATGACTGCGCCACCCTCTTTGACGAGGCTCTCCCTTGCTTCCCTGAACACCTTCTCGCGGTTCAAAAGACCTTCCTGGTGCTCGTCTATACTCGCCTGCAAAGTGGCGTATAGTGTAAGCTTCGCGCTAGCAAGGATGAATTCGCCTTCAATACTCTGGCAACGGTCAGATAAAAACCTACGTCATATGGTCTTTAA